CTGACTATACATATTCTGGCTCATGGGCAATGTGTTCTGATTTGGGTCACTTTTTTTTTTTTTGAGACAGAGTCTCTGTCACTCGGGCTGGAGCGTGATGGTATGATCATAGCTCATGCTGCAGCCTCCAACTCCTGGGCTCAAGCGATCCTCTGGCCTCAACCTCCCTCGTAGCTAGGACTACAGGTGTGAACCACCACAATAGCTATTTTTTTTTTTTACTTTTATTATTTGTAGAGATGAGGTCTCACTATGTTGCCCAGGCTGGTCTCGAACTCCTGACCTCAAGCAATCCTCCCGCCTCAGCCTCCCAAAGTGCTGGCATGAGCCACCCATTCACACAGGCATGAGGCACTGCTCCCAGCTTGATTTTTTCTATTGACTGCCCTACAGTAGATGTGTTCGTGAAAAGGTGAGCATAGATTCTGTATTTGATGCAAAAGAGAACGAGGAGAATTGGGTCCTAAGGCAGGCAATCCCTTCCTGGGACGGGTATAGGAACCAAGAGTGTCCTTCTGAGTGGGACTCAATGCAAAGACTTCTGCCTGGAATTATGACAACTGCAGTTACAATTTTTTTGAGCACCTAAGGTATGCCAGACCCTGAGCTTCACAAGCCGTATCTCTATTTTTCCCAGCAATTCTGCAAAATAGGTGTGATTTGTCTAATTTAAAATGAGCTATATCAAATCCATGTGGCTATGCAGGTGCTATGCAGCCTAGAAGGTTTTAAAACAGCATCTTCCAAATGCTGATCTGGGAGTGACTTCACAACATCCTGAGGGGCTTTTTAAAAATGTAGACGCCCAGCCCCACATTCTCAATTCTTATTCGAAGCCTGTGAGCCTTCCCCAGCACCCCCAGATGACTCCAAAGCCTGGCTGGCTCTGGCACTGCTGTTCTGGGGCTGCTGAGGGCTGGGGTCTTGTGGGCTGAGGGGGAACCCTAGAAAAGTCCAGGAAAACCACAATGGGAAGGGTGCCCAGGAGGGAATGTCAGTAAACTATGATACAGTCATATGGCAGCATACTATACAGCCCTTAAAAATGAAGAATTTGGCTGGGCACAGTGGCTCACGCCCCTGTAATCCCAACACTTTGGGAGGCTGAGACAGGTGGAGCACCTGAGGTCAAGAGTTCAAGACCAGCCTGACCAACATGGTGAAATCCCATCTCTACTAAAAACGCAAAAATTAGTCAGGGGTGGTGGTGCACGTCTGTAGTCCCAGCTACTCAGGAGGCTGAGGCAGGAAAATCGCTTGAACCCGCGAGGCAGAGGTTGCAGTAAGCTGAGATTGCGCCACTGCACTCCAGCCTAGGCAACAGAGCAAGACTCCGTTTGAAAAAAAAAACACCACGAAGAATTTGTAATAACATTAAAACAGACATTAAGGGAACAAGACAGGTAATAAATTGCATATATAGTTTTGCCACAGCTATGTAACAAATGCAAAAGTACATTAAAAAAAAAAAAAAAGACTGGAAGGAAAAACAAAATATTTTACTGGTTATCTCCACATGAAGATTCTAAGTGATTTTACCTTCCTCTGTACACTTTTCTACATAGGGCGCGTGTTACCTTTCTAAACAGAAAAGCATAAGCGCTGTTTTTGAAAGAGAAAAGTCTCTCATCCTCTGTCACCCCAGCCAGCAGGAGTCAACTTTCACATTCTGGGGTTAGGCAGAAATTGCTGGGGTTTTTGTTTTCTTCTTCTCTCTGAGGGCAGGAAATAACTCTTTCCCACTGGATTTCCTGCTGGAGTTGGAGGCCCAGAAAAATTCTGGCTGAAGACTGGAGACAGGTGTAAACACGCCGGGCTTGCAAGGCCCTCTGTGAGTGGCTCTTGGGTATCTCCGCGTCCCTCTCTCTCCAGCGCCTGCTCTGGGAGCAGTTTCTGGAAAGCACCATACCCACTTTTGCAAGGCCATCCTCTCTACCTGGAAGGCTCTTCCCTGCTCCCCTCTTGCTTAACGAACATCATTCGGCCGTTGTCTTAGGTGTCCATGTTCTAAGGCGATCTTCCCTGACCCCTAGTACTGAGTCAGGATCCCCAAGAGCTCCCAGAACTCCCTGTTCTCGCCAATTTGATTGTAATCATGGGTTACTCCTAAGGCTCTGCAAGGGTTGGGACTGTATATCCCCTGCATTATCAAAGCCTGGTACACAGCAGGCACTCAATAAATGTTTACTGAATGAATGAAGAAATCCTGCCTTGAGATCCAGAATACCAAAGAAACTCTGAGACAGGCAGGTGTCATCCCGAGGAGCTCTGGCACCTGCCTCTCTCAGAGCTCCTTGGAGGAAAGAAAGGGTCCAGGCAGTTCTTTCCGCATAAAGCTATTATGACTGGTGCCAGGTGATTTGCAAAACCACATCTACCACCTGCTCCAAGGGCTTAGACCAGGAATTGGGAGGCAACCAAATAGCGGGCAGGAGGGGGCTGGCCTCCTCCTGGATGGCTTGCTCAGAAACTCTGCCCCATGCAGGGACTGTGTCTGGGGTGGTGGCTAACTGGCACAACAGCTAGCTTCTTGGGAGGAGGTTCATTGAGGGAAGCGGTTGTCCTAAGGGCCGCTGAGTTTCATCTGGTTGCTCTGGGAAGGATGCGCTTCTGCAAAAGCCCTGAAGGCAGAGCCGTTTCAGCCTCTCCAGGCCTCAGAACTGAGCGCCGCCCCCGCCATTCCCCCACCCATCTGACTCTACTTGACAAACTAAAAAGGCTGCCTTGCAGGGGAGGGCAGCTACCCACGGTGTCACCCTCTGGCTGCTCACTGGCCACCCTTGGGCCTCTCCTCTGGGCTGCCCTTCCTTCTTGAATGCTGTCTATGCAAGGGCCCTGGCCCAGCTGGCCCCAAACAGGATTTGGGCACCCAACTCAGACGGGCAGGTTTGCAGGTGGTTGATGAATTCAGGGCCCTGCCATCCTGTTTCCGGGATCCCCTAGCCTGGGGTCTAGGGGATGAGGTAATGGGACTGCCCCTGCCTCCCACACATCTCCTAGTGGAGTGAGGGACACATCTGGTGTGCAGGCCCACTTTGGTGGGGTGGAACGGGCCACACAGGGGAATCAGGGGTAAATAGAAACGTGTTACTGGTGCTGCAGAAACGTGCTGGGGGCGGGGGCTCCTGAGAGGGCAAAAGTGGGCTTCCAGGGCCTGGGAGGGACTGACCCTGTGCATCAGAGGGCAGTGGCCTGCTAAGGCCAGCCCTTAGGATGTCTCGAGTTCTGCTAGGTTGTCCTTGCCCCACCCTGCCATCTTCTCTGCCCTTTCAATACTCTTCTCCCTTTCCTTTCCCCTCTTCGGGAACCAGTGCCCTCTGGCCTCTGGCAGCCACATGTTCCAGTCTTGGAAGGATAACTCAGATCTAAAATATTCTCATCGCACATTAACCCGTGCGTCACCGTGCTGTGGCTCCCCCAAAGCCTCCTGCCACAGAAGGCTAGTGGCTGACACACTCACCCACACTGAGGTGTCAGGAACTGAGGATGGCTTGGGGCAGACGGTGAGGAAGCGGGGGCAGATTTAAGAGTGGCTCATGGAAAAGAAGACTTCTGCCAAAGGAATGAATCTCTCAGATGAAGGAGTGGCCCTGTCAGAGAGACAGAGTGGGGGCTCCACTCAGAGTTGACCGCCTTCTCTGCCACAACAGGGAGGTTCTGCCTGGGGCTGAGAGGTGGGGAGGGAAGCCTGGGGATGTGAGCTTAGTGAGGGCCACCCACCGTGGACGATGAGCCGCCTCATCACAGCCCAGGTGGAGAGAGCGCTGAGCAGGGAGCCCAGACCCCTGTCAGTGCTAGCCCAGCTCTGCCTCAGATGGCCCGAGTGTGTGCAGGTCACCTACTGGGCCTCAGTTTTCCTACTGGTAAAATGGGAACAACCCTACCCACATCTCAGGGCTGTTGTGAGAGCCATTGAGACGAGACAGGAAAGACATGGGCAAGTCGGAGGAGAGACGCTGTGAGGCGGTGGAAGGGTAGCCAACAGGGCGTCAGGAGATGGACCTGGGCGAGTGCCTGCCCCTCTCTATACACTGCAAGGGTCAGACCAGCCGATCTCGGAGGACCTGTCAGCCCCAGCCTCCCTCATCACCATCTTCGTTTATGAACAACACTGTTATCTTTCCCTGCTCCAGGGAACTTCCTGAGGAGGTGCCGCAGCAGCTCCAGCCACTCCCCATGATGGCTCAGAGCCAGTGCCAGGGGCCTCGCTCTGACACTCACTTGAGGACGCGTGGGGAAGCAGGCAGAGGGAGGAGGTGGCCCCGCCCGCTCCTGCAGGTGAACTTGCTTCTCCGTCCTCACCCTCTGGCTTATGGTGGGTTTTCCTGTCCTATTTTCTGTGATCCCCTGACAGCCAGCACCCCTACACACACCACACACACACAAACACACACAGTGTATGTGTACACAGTGCTGGCGCTAGACTGACTCATACATGCTCACATACACACACATACACTCAGACACTCACATACACACAGTCACGCACATTCACACACTTTCACAGGCACAAACACACATATACACTCTGACACACACTAACACACACTCATACACGCTTACACTCACACACATGCACACACACACTCTCATACACTCACACATGCAAACACACATACATGTGTGCACACACACACATGCACGCACACACACTAGTCTCCTGCCCTGCCTGGTCGCTTCTGGTCACGTCCAATCCTGGGTCCAGAACCAAGCTCCTGCCGTCTGGGGCTCCCCAGTAGAACTTCTGTCCTAGGGAAGCCACCTCCCTGCCCCTGCCAGGCCTGGACCCTGGGTCTTGCCCTGCCCTGCAGGGACTGCTCTCAGGGAACAGCCTGGCCACTGATCCACTTCACGGTGGGCATGTTTCACAGCCACCTGGGTCAGGAAGCCCACATTCTCCCAAGGGAAGGTGACTCATCGCTGATGTCTGAGGGTGATCTGAGCACTCTCTTCACCACCCCGTCAGCCCTGAGCCTTCATCTTATCTCCTTGCCAACAGCACATAAGTGTGAGTGAGTCCTCACTGCAGTCCAGGCAGCCTGGGGGCTACGAGGGGCTTCAGACGTCCTCATCCCCAGCCTGTAGGCCTGGCCATACCGGACCCATGAGATCAGCCACCCTGTGAGCTGGGACCTCGGGGTCCTACAGCCCTCCTCACTCAAGCCCTGATCCCCTAACTTAGAGGTGAGGTGTTGGGCTGGAGGAGACAGGCAGCCAGGTAAGAGTGTGGGGAGACACGGATGCCCAGTGGGCAGCTCTGCCCTGGGTGCTGCTGTTTCTGCCTCTCTTGGGATGGGTTGGGTTGGGGAAGGGGCCTCTGAGAAGGATGAGGCCCCCGTGCCCTTTGCCTCCCCTCCCCCAATGCCCCATCTTCCCCATCCTCCTTGTCCTGCCTCACTTGCCTCAAGTGCTCTCTGCATTGCGTTGCTGACCTCACCTCTCCATGTGTCTCTGGATCTCTGCCACCTTGTCACTCTGTTTTCTATCTCTGGCTCCTTCTTTCTCTGTGTCTATGCCTGTGTCCCCCACTCTCTCCAGGTCCTCATGCCACTCTCTGCCTCCCTCTCACTCTGTGCCTCTTTGTCCTGTCTCTCTCTGACCAGTTCTCGGACTCTCCTTCCCCTCCAGAGTTCTCCTCTTAACAACCCACTTTGCAGCAATCTCATGAAAAAAACGGAAAGAGAAGGCACTATGTGGTTTTATCATCACAATAAAACCTGGTGGGCTTGACATGTGGCTGCAGGGTCTGCCTACCCTCGCAGCTGCCACCCTCCCGCCTCCAGGGCAGTCTCTGTGCATTCAGCAGAGGCACCAGCCTGGTGCAGCTCCCCTGCCCGACACTTCTAGAGCAGAAGTCCACCAGCCATGGGGCATGTCCTGAAGGGACAGCCAAGTATAGGGACAAAGCAGGAACCCAGGGCCAAAGCAGGGGTCCAGATGGAATTAGATGTCTGCTATGGAATGCATGTTGGAGATTAGGTGAAGCCCTAACCCCCAAGGTGATGGTATTTGAAGATGGGGCCTTTGGGAGGCAATTAGGTTTAGATGAGATCATGAGGGTGGGGCCCCCATGATGGGATTAGTGCCCTTATGAGAAGAGGAAGAGAAGCCAGAGTGCTGTCTGCCTTGCCATGTGAGGACACAACAAGAAGACAGCCAACTGTAAGCCACAGAGAGCCCTCACCAGAAACTGAATCAGACAGCACCATGATCTTGGACTTCCCAGTCTCCAGAACCCTGTGAGGAATAAACCCTGATTGTTTAAAGCCACCTGGTCTACCATATTTTGTTGTGGCAGCCCAAGATGACTCAGATGGTATTTCAACCTTGTTGGCCCCTCTGTAGGAGAGGCAGCAGCCTGGTGAGACTCCAGGCCTGACCTGGACCAAGGTCAACCCTGCCCTGCACTCTGCACCCCTCTACACCCTCACCTATTGTGGCCTCTGGCTTCTGCCACAGAGACTCCCGCAGCAATGTGAAGAAGGCATATGCCCCCGAGGGCTTGACCTGTTCCAGAGTCAGCCTAGCAACCTGCTGACTTGACTATAGTAGGCTCAGAGGTCCCAGGAGTGGCCCCTGGCTAGCACAGGACACTGACACAGGGTGCTTCCTGGTGGGGGTGGGAGGGGAACAGGCACTGGGACAATCCAGGTCTGCCCTCCCCCAATTTTTCCTGTCACTGTCTCACATCCTAGGACTATCTGTGTGCCTTCACCCCCCACATCCCATGCCCACCCAAGGGGATCCACAAGTGGTGAGCCACCTGAAGCAGGCATGAGGAAGTGCAAACTCCAAGCCCTCCCCTTCCAAGCTTTGGGGTCTGTCCTGGTAACAGTTGCTTGTTTTTTGAACATCTAAAGTGTGTAGGAACAAAAACCTGAATTTTCTAGACACCATATGTTAGATGTAGTCAAGTTCTGATCAATGGGAGCTAAACAGAGTGTCATTACGACTCTGAGAAAGTATTGATAAATGGTGAGGTACCATTCTTCTGCCGTCCTTTTCTACTTCCTTCCAACTGAAATGTGAACATGATGGCTGGAGCTCAAACAGCCATTTTGGGCCATAAGGTGGATGCTGTGTGTGAGAATGGCACAATAATACAACTAAGGAACTTGAGATGCTGGTGGTCATGGATCTTCCCATACCTGGGATGTTTACTTCTACACTTTGCTTACCTAAAGGGATAATCAACTTCTCTCTCGTTTACACCATTATATTTTGGGTCTTCTGTCACTTTAGCCAAATACTATCCTAATTGGTACAAAAACAACAACCAACCAATGAGTCTTTATTGAGTAGTTACTTTGTGCCAAGCCCTGTAATAGGCGAGGTTTTAAAAGCTGTTTTTCATTTAATTTTCACAGCAACCTTAAAACCAGGTGTTGAGACTAATTAAATTTGTGAGCTTCATCTCCCAAATGAATTGTGTTTGTTCATTTGTTGGCTCCTGCTACATACCAGACATTTGTCAAGGCATTGAGGATACAGTAGCAAATAAGAGAAATTCCTTTTCTTCAAAACATTGACAGTTCAGTGGGAGGAACAGACAAGTAAGTGGAAATAACAATGCAATGTGATGATGATAATAATGTTATATTATCATTTTAAGGTGCTATCAATTGTAATATGTACTGTTATTTTATGTACTCTCAAGAAAAAATATACTGCCATTAAACTGAATCATAATACCTTAACGATAGTCTCACGTGATACATGAACCAGATACACCAACCTCCCTTTACTTTGAAATCGTTTATTAGCTATTCCAAGGGATTTCACAATTCCTCTGGCCCTTGGTTGCCTTGCTTGATATGTGACATGCCGTCTTTTCAGACATATCTCAGTAACAGAACATAGCACAACTTCATCTGTTTATATCTTCCTTTCCTGTCCCATAAAGTACCTGGTTGTGATTCTGGAAGAGGCACAGACTCTGGCAGTGCCTCTGTTGGTGAATATTTGCCCATTAATATCGAGTTTATGCCCTGCCGCTTGGTTTCACATTCTTCTTCACATTCAACGAATCTTCATTTCTTTGTTGAGCCATAGCATTCTTGAAGGCAGTTTAGAGGCAGTTAAACTCAACACATAAAATATGTAGGAATGACAAAATTATGCATTCAGTTAGAACTCATAGCTCTAAAGAGCAAAGACCAAATTTACGCTTATTCAGGCAATGACAACTATGTGGGAACGCCATAGGATAAACAACAATTATAAGATTTTTTGGGGGCTGGGTGTGGTGGCTCATACCACCTGTAAGCCCAACACTTCAGGAGGCTAAGGTGGGCGGATCGCCTGAGACCAGCCTGGGCAACATGGAGAAACCCCATCTCTATAAAAAATACAAAAATTAGCAAGGTGTGGTGGTACATGCCTGTGGTCCCAGCTACCAGGGAGGTTGAGGTGGGAGGCTCACTTGAGTCCAGGAAGTCGAGGCTGTAATGAGCTGTGAATGTGCCACTGCACACCAGCCTGGGCAACAGAGTGAGACCCTGCCCTGAAAAAAAAAAAAAAGAAAAAGAAAAAGACGTTTTTGATTGTAAGTACTGTGTAATCTCAAATGTTTGAAGAAGTGATTTTTTTTTAAAAGTATCTTCCAGAGACTAGGAGACGGAGGAGGGGGATGACTACCTGATAAGAATGGGGTTTCCTTTGGGGATAATAAAAATGTTCTGAAACGATACAGCTGTGATGGCTGCACAACACTGTGGATGTACTAACTGCTGCCAAATTGTGCACTGCAAAATGATTAAGACGGTAAATTTTATGTGTATTTTACCACAATTTTATAAGCTATAGGTCTTAGATTTGATGAAAATGGTGGCTGCTTTTATTTTTAAATTGCTAGGTTTTAAGTGAAAGAAACCAATCTGAAAGGCTCCTTACTGAATGATTCCAACTATATGACATTCCGGAAAGGGTAAAACTATGGAAACAGTAAAAAGATCAGTGGTTATCAGAAGTTAGCGGGATGGGAAAGATGAATAGGTTCAGGCTAGAGGATATTTAGGGCAGTGAAACTATTCCGTATGATACTATAATGATGGATACATGTCAGTATGCATTAGTGCAAAACCATTGAATGTGCAGCACCAAGAGTGCACCCTAATGTAACATACAGACTTTGCGTGATGATTCGTCATTGTAGGTTCATCAATTATAACAAATGCACCACTCTGGGGGTGGGAGTGGGACAGTGGTAGTACGGGAGGCTATGCAAGTGTGAGGGCAGGGGGTATATGGGAAAGCTCTGCACCTTCCTCGCAATTTTGCCGTGAACCTAAAACTACTCCAAAAAGGAGTCTTTAAAAAAATAACTAAATTGCAAGCACTGTCCTTTTCATTGTTGTTGTTGTTGAGATGGCGTTTCGCTCCTGCAACCTCCACCTCCCAGGTTCAAGTGATTCTCCTGCCTCAGCCTCCCAAGTAGCTGGGATTACAGGCATGTGCCACCATGCCCAGCTAATTTTGTATTTTTAGTAGAGATGGGGTTTCACCATGTTGGTCAGGCGGGTCTTGAACTCCAGACCTCAGGTGATCCACCCGCCTCAGCTTCCCAAAGTGCTGAGATTACAGGGGTGAGCCACCACACCTGGCCACAAGCACTGTTCTAAGTGTATCACATAAATAGTCAAATGTAATGCCAACAACAACCATAAAACATAGCTAATAATAATCACAAACATCCATGGGCCACCAATCTCTCAGTGACTTGGGGCTTTACAGGCACTAGGTCATTTCCCTCTCATAACAGCCAATCAAGTTCAGTCTGTTCTGCCATGATGCTTGTTTTGGAAATGAGAACCTGTTCCAACATGACTGGTATATCAGGGAACAATATAAGCATAATGCAGATCTTGCATTTGCTCTTGTGTGATTTTGTCAGTGGGAAACACTGTCAGGGGTTGATAAACTACAGCTCTCCGGCCAGTGGTCTGTTTTTGTAAATAAAGATTTTGTAAATAAAGATTTATTGGAACACAGCAACACTCATTCACTGAACAACAGCAGCAGAGTTGAGTCATTGCAACAGATACCTCTGCAGAGTTGAAGGTATTTATTATCTGGATTTTTAAGGAAAAGTTTGTGAAGCCCTGTGTTATGGGAAGCCAGAAAATGCACCTAGCTGAACCACATATCACAGAAAAAACATGCGTGTACTTTAAAGAGTTAATGAGCTGTCTTTTCATTTCTTGATGTTATCATAAGCAC